GGGGTCGGGTCTGGGCAGCTGCCCGGCCAGGGCTGGGAGCGGGGCCCTGGCGGGGTGGGAGACCCCGCCACGTTATCAGGAGCCGGGGGGCGGCCTGGCTGAGCTGGACGCGGGGGGGAAGCTTGCTTGCTTGCACACACGCACATCACACACCTCGATCACACAGATCACGCACACAGATGACACAGGCACACACACATCACACACACAGACCACAGATCGCACGTATACAGATCACACACACAGATCACGTACCTCGATCATACAGACCACACACACAGGGATTCCCCCCCAAACGCTCCCTGCCCCGTCCCGTGTACAGCGCCGACCGGCAGACCCAGCTCTCCCCGGCGCAGCGCTGTTCCTCCTCAGGATACATGTCCCCTTCTTTCCATTGGAGGGCAGAAGAGGAAAGATCAACTAGGAGGAAAGAAGCTGCCAAAGGGGACGAGTTAGGTTGTGGGCACCTTCCTTGCAGCCAGCGTGGCTTGCAGGTGGGGGGAGAATAGGGTGGTGGGGGCCGCAGTTTCTCCCCAGAGTGACCCCTTGAATCCATTTTCCTTGCCTGGATTTTTCTGTCCATCGCTCTGCCAACTTGAGGCACACCTGGAGGACCAGGGAAGCCCCATGCTAACAGGGAAGGGTCTAGGATTTGAAGCATCAGCTAGAGTTGATATAGGAAGTCCAGGCATACCCCTCCCTCCCCACCGCCCCCATTGGCAGGGAAACTGACACCACCTGATTTATTCTCAGATATAAAATATGGGCCTGGGAATGGGAGATAACACTTTTATTACCCTCCATTGCATGAATTTGTTTCTCCTGCAGAAATCTGAGATAGTTTTAATTTTACATTAAAGGCAAGAGTCATGCCACGCTTTTTTTTTTATTTTTGGGTCCCCCTGCCCAGTAGCATTGGATCCAGCAGAACTGTATTATGTAAAAGATCTGGCATGCCTGTCAGTGGCACATCTGCTAGGTGTAGATGGTGGTCGTTAGCCAAGGTTTTCTACTAAATGGCATGCCACAGTCCTGGGCATAGTAGGATCCCAGTGCCAATCATTTGTTTGCTGCCAGTCCAAAGGCAAGCCTGGTTCAAAGATGGCTTCTTTCCCCACTGGCACCAGAAAGATAGGAAACAATGTGTTTAGATGTTGGAGACAAAATTTAAGCTGCATATGTGAGGCTGCAAGCAGAATGTAGCAGAAGGGGGATGAGGTTGGTAATGAAACATGGGAGATGTGAAGCTTGTCTCTAACTGGGGCAGGAAAGGGTTAACATCCTTTGTAGCCGCAGTGCACTGGTAGATAAATGACTGCATGTGTGTGTGTGGTCCTACATTGACATGTGACCATATGGACCATATAATATTAGTTAAAAAAGTAAAGAAGTCAGTGAGGGCATACAGATGCATAGAGGTTCCCTTACAGTACAGTTCAGAAATGTAACAGGCAGGCACTGTGCCTTTCTTATGGGTTTCAGGATCTGGTGCCCTGATTGCCCACCCCTGCCACATACTAGCATAGTTGTATATTGTTTCATTTGCACAACAGTCCTCAGCTTGCTCAACAACAAATTCCTGTGGCTAGGTCTCTCTCTGTGCTGAGTTTCAGATGTCCAAAATGGATTCTTCTTACCTTGACTATTTCAGGCACCCTGTTTTCTTCTTATTTCAGGGCTTGATCTAAAACTCCAACCAACCAATATGACCAACCAACATGACGAGGCTTTGAATCAGGTACCTGGCCATCTTAACTACCCTCCTTCCAACTGTGGTAGTTTCAGGGGAGGAAGCTGAGTGATCTTGGCTTCTGTGTAGAGCTTGGAGAGATTTGTTTTTGGGATGGTTCAGATTTTGGAAATAACATCAAAAAAGGGTTTTTCCAGTGAACTTTCCTCCTTGTACTCTGGGAATGCAATGTAAAGGCCAAGTCTAGGAAATGTCTCAAATCCAGAATAGAAAATAAAAGGATGGAACCTTTTGGAGGAGGTGGGAGGCATGCTTGCAACAACTGTGTCCTTGGTACTTGGAAGGGCTTCCCAAACACTTGGAGTTCTCCAATAAACTAATGAGGATCCACAAGCCCTCACTTTCTCTGCAGCATGTAATTCCATCAGTATGTGGCCTTATGGTGTTAGGACTACTCCTGCAGAGTCTGCCCAATCATTTGCTGCCCGCATGCAAGTTGAAGACAGTTCTCAAGTACCTTGATAAGGTAAACTTCAAGCAAAGCTACCTGCCATATTATCAAACCAAACCTACCGCTACTGTTAGAAATAGAAGAATTGTCCTATTCTATCAGAACAGATCTCCACTTGATCCCGTATCCTGTTTCCCATGTCAGCTAGTATTAGATTAGTGGTTCTCAACCTTTTTGATTTGAGGCACCCCCCCGAATAAACTCAAGGCACCCTTCCATACCTTTTGGGAATTGAGTGGCACCCAGTTTCAAAAACCTTATTTTTACAGTGTTTACCTCCTTGCAGAAGGACAGGCAGTTGGGGAGGTGCAGTGGCCAGGCAGAGAAGAGCCTGAGCATGCACTTATCTACCTGGCTTATCTCCTCACACCTTGGGGCACCTTTCAAAGGATTGTGTGGCACCTCTGGGTGCCCCAGCACCCTGGTTGAGAATCAGTGTACTAGCTGTTTCAGTAGTTTCAAGAGACTCTGTATCTGGGTTGAACAACTTAC